AGTGGCACTGTCACGGCTCTGCAGCCTGAACTCCGGAGTGCAGTGGCGCGGTCACGGCTCTGCAGCCTGAACTCCGGAGTGCAGTGGCACTGTCACGGCTCTGTAGCTTGAACTCCAGAGTGCAGTGGCACTGTCACGGCTCTGCAGCCCGGAACTCCGGGCTCAAGCCATCCTCCTGCCCCACAGGGGCATGCCACCACACCCAGGTCACTTTTGTGTTTGTTTTGTAGAGACCGGGTCTCGCCATGTTGCCCAAGCTGGTCTTGATCTTCTGGGCTCAAGCAATCAAGGCCACATGCCTAGGCTTCCCAAAGTGCTGGGATCACAGGCATAAGCTGCCACGCCCAGGCTGGCATTTGTTTTAGTTAAAAGAAAAAAACAAAAGCTGCCCTCCTGGTCATGACACTCCCCAAAACGGCCCATGACATCAGAGTGACCCACCCCAAGAGCTGAAGGACACAGGGCCGCCCGGCGTGAAGCCAGCGTGTTGTCTTTGCTTTGGCTTTTTCTGTTTGTTTTTGTGACAGTTTCACTCTTTCGCCCAGGTGGTGTACAGCGGTGTGATCTTGGCTCACTGCAGCCTCCACCCCCAGGTTCAAGTGATCCTCCTGCCTCAGCATTCCCAGTAACTGGAATTATAGGGCATATGCCACCTAATCTGGTTAATTTTTGTATTTTTAGTAGAGACAGGGTTTCACCGTGTTGGCCAGGCTGGTCTCGAACTCCTGACCTGGTGATCCACCTGCCTTGGCATCCCAAAGCGCTGGATGACAGGCATGAACCACCGCACCCGGCCAGTCAGGGGTGTTTTCTACCAGCCCCCACCCGACACTATCCGTGCACAGAGATAGAAAGTGAGGTGTTCGAGGTGTGCTTTTTTACAGTGCAGGAAAAGTTACGAGGCCTTAACAAGGAAACCTAGCATTCTCCTTGGGAGGAAGAAACCACTATGATTTAATACTTGAATAAGCCAAGCAACAGCGCCAGGGTGGGAACGGAGAAAGTGGAGACTGCTCCGAGAGACTTTCCAAAATCAGAGGCGGCCCTCGTGCACTGCTGGTGGGAGTGTCGAATGGTGCCGCTGCCCTGGAAACGGGCGGGCGACTCCTGAGAATGCTAAATAGAAGATACCACAGGACCCACGATTCCACACCCAGGCATCAGCCCAAGGGAAATGAAATGCATTCCATACCAACACCTGCGCACCCAGGTCCACCACAGCACGGTCCCAACAGCCAGCGAGGAGACCACGGGAACGCCATCAGCAGGGGAGGGGTCGCATGACACACCACACACAGCAGAATGCGACTCAGCCACGAAAAGACGCCAGGCTCTGACGCAGGCCCCGGCGTGGATGAACCCTGAGCGTGTCACGCAGGCCCTGGCGTGGACGAACCCTGAGCGTGTCACGCAGGCCCCAGCATGGATGAACCCTGAGCATGCCGTGCTCAGTGAGAGACGTCAGGCACAAAAGGCCACACAGTCCGCGATCCCATTTCCATGAGCTGTCCAGGACAGGCCGGGCCACAGAGGCAGGAAGGGGATGTCTGGTTTCGGGTGTGGGGGCGGGATGGGGAGCAAGTGCTGATGGGGACAGAGCTTCCTCTGGGACAATGAGATGCTCTGCAATTAGCGTGATGCCAACAATCTCCAAATTATAACCTTTAAAGGGTGGATTTCGTCTCAATAAAAGTTACTTTTTACGAAGTGAAGGCCTCCTATCTGGGGCCCGGCCAAACCACGGCCAGCCCACACGGTGTGCCCTGAGGTCCTCCTCGGAAGCAGGCGCCCAGCTCCCTCGCTCCTGTCTCCCGTGCTCTTCCAGAGTACTTTCTAGCACCTCCTGGTCGCCGCACTCAGCACCTCCGGATATAAAGTGGGTTTATCAAGGGCTGTGTGGTGAACTGCAGCAGGATGACGTGACTCATGCCCATGATCCCGGCACGCTGGGAGCCCGAGGTGGGAGGGTCACTTGAGGCCAGGAACTTGAGACCAGCCTGGGCAACATAGGAGAGACCCTATCTCTACAAAAAATTTTTTTAAATTAGCCAGGTGTAGTGGTGCATGCCTGTAGTATCAGCTACTCAGGGGGCTGGGGCGGGAGGATCACTTGAGCCCAGGAGGTGGAGGCTGCAGTGAGCTGTGACTGCACTCCAGCCTGGGTAACAGAGCAAGACCCTATCTCTAAAAAAATAAAGCTAACTGACAGAGCAGGTGACTTACTTGGTTTGTGCTACGTTAATTTTGGTACAAAGAAAACGGCTGAGTTTTAGAAAATTGACTGTCGAAGGGTAAAAGCAAGATTTCAGGAGGCACAGACAGAGCTGCCAGTTTCCAAACCAAGTCACCAAGGGACTTGTCCATCCTGCCCAGACAGCAGTAAGTTAACCTGGACGAGGGAGGTGCATGGTTATCTGCACAGGCCCAGACAGGAAAAACCTTCAGATGCGCAGGCCACGCCCTCTGCTCCAGCTATTCCCGCCTCCCGCCGTGAGGAGCAGGCAGCCAGAGACAATGCACAGGTGAATGGACACGGCCACGTGCCAATAAAACTTTATTTACAGAAACAGTCAGGGGATCAGATTGAGTCCAGGGACCATAGTTTGCCAACCACGTGCCCAGAGCCTCTTCCTTTATTTCACGCCTTCCAAACGGAGGCTGGGCTCTACCACCCTCCTCGAGGTCCTATTCATGGCAGAACAGAAAAGGTACCCACAAATGGCACAAGGGCCCCAGCTCAAGTCCACACTTGCCCTCGTTAGCTACAGGGGGCACCTTCCTCCCTCTGCACAGGGAAGCAGGGAAGCGGCACAGACTTCAAGAGCGATGCCACCGTACCCGACGGAGCTTTCCCCAGTGCTCTGCCGGCCACCACTGCCTCTGCCTCAACAGGAGAACGGGGCACTGTGCATCCCACATCTGACGCCCTCCCGCAGGTCATCTGCGCCTTGTGGGCGTGGCCAGAAGGGATGAGGTCACTCTCTCTCTTCTCCTGAGTGGCCCCTCGGGCTGCCACCAGAGGTACCTCTTTAAAACCGCCATCCTTGGCTTATAAGAAAGGCACAAGAAAACCCAGGGCTGCAGAACTATCCCAAAGGCATTTAAAAAGGAGCTCCTATTTCTAGAGACCCTTGCTCTAACTGCTCCCCACTTCTGGCAGTGTGCATGAGCCCAGGTATCCCCAGGGCCAATACTCATGAAGCAGACAGGGCAGTGGGTTCTGGGTGACCCCAGTGTCTCCCCAAATGTGAAGTGAGGGTTGGGTGGTGAGATGCAAGCCCAAAGCAGACAGACCTGCAAAAACTTCCAGAGGAACCCCCCCACCGTGGCCTGCGGGCTCCTGTCCCAGCACAGCTCACGCCTGACGTCCCAGGAATTCGGAGCCGGGCAGGCCACCCCCTTCTCCTTGGCGGGCCACCCAGGGAAGAGGCCACAGCCTTGCAGGCCCTGGTCCTGTGGGGCCACGTGGGAGCCAGGTCCATGTTACTTACTTCTGGATGGCGAGGTTCCCGGGTGGAGGTGCTCCACAAATTGGCTAGGATTTGTCAGGTGCCTCCAGCGAGGGTGACGGTCCTAAAATGTGCAAATAAAAGCATGATTAACTAAGCTGATCGCACGCTCAAGCTTCACTTCTAAATCCGACTCCCGCCAGCTGCACACAGCACGAGCACACTTGCCTTTATTCAGATGTTCCACATTCTTGTCAATTTTTAACAACACAAAAATCTATAACTATAAGCACTTTACCCAGTCAAGTTTCCAATGAGGGCCCATTTTAGGCTCAGCTCCTAAAAACCAGGGCTGAGGCAGCAAGAGCACCCATGAACAGTCAAATGAAACCAAAGAAGCTTCTGGAAGCCTTAAGACACAGACACAGACAGCTACTAAGAGATTTTCAAGAAGTTTTGCCCTCAGCCCTGCCACACCAAGAGGCAGAACGCAGGGAGAGAGGGAGGCAGGGGCAGGTGCTGCGACCCCGCAGGGGCCAGGGCACAGCCCGGGCAGCGAGCTCGGACCTGGACACAGAGACAATGGGACACTGGTAGGATGGATGTGGGATGGAACTCCAAGCTTTGGAAGCGGCACCAAGACTTCTTTACTTTCTTAAGAGACAGGGTCTCGATACAGTGTCCAGGCTGGTCTCGAGCTCCTGGCTTCAAGTGATCCTCCTGCCATGGCTTCCCAAAGTACTGGGATTACAGGTGTCAGCCAACGCCCCAGCCAATATCAAGACTTTTATAGCAGGGTGTGGTGGCTCACACCTGTAATCCCAGCACTTTGGGAGGCCGAGGCAGGTGAATCACTTGAGGTCAGGAGATCGAGACCAGCCTGGCTAACATGGTGAAACCGTGTCTCTACTGAAAATATAAAAATTAGCCAGGCATGGTGGCGGATGCCTGTACTCCCCTCTACTTGGGAGGCTGATGCTTGAGAATCGCTTGAACCCGGGGGCGCGGGGAGGCGGAGGTTACAGTGAGTCGAGATTGCACCATTGTACTGCAGCCTGGGTGACAGAGAAAGACTATGTCTCAGGGGGACAAAAAAAAAAAAAAAAGACTTCCACAATCTGATCTGTACCTCCCACTGGGCTTGGCACACCTGGGGCTCGATGGGTGCCCAGGCCTTCGAGCACCCATCTCAGAGCCCCGCCTGTGCCGGCTCTCAGCTCAGGCTGCCCTCTGCTTCCTTCTGCTTAGCTAATGCCAACTTGCATTTCAGAAGCAACTCTAGGGTCCCCTTGGTGGGCCCGGCCTCCGGGGCAGAGAAGCTCACACCCTGGGGCCCTGGTTTTGTTGTATGGTTTTTTTTGTTTTTTTTTTTTTGAGCTGGAGTCTCACTCTGTCCTCCAGGCTGGAGTGCAGTGGCACAATCCAACAACACCCGGCCTATTGCACACTTTTTACAATTCACCAAGATCTTTAAGTAACACCAAGTGGCCGGGCGTCGTGGCTCACACCTGTAGTCCCAGCACTTTGGGAAGCCAAGGTGGGCAAATCATGAGGTCAGGAGTTCAAACCCAGCCTGGCCAACATGGTAAAACCCTGTCTCTACTGAAAATACACAAAATTAGCCAGGCGTGGTGGCGGGCACCTGTAGTCCCAGCTCCTTGGGAGGCTGAGGAAGGAGAATCACTTGAACCCAGAAGGCAGAGATTGCAGCGAGCCAAGATCGCACCACTGCACTCCAGCCCTGGAAACAGAGCAAGACTATGTCTCAAAATAAATAAACAAACAAACAAATAAACAACACCAAGTGGTGTGGTGGCTCATGCCTGTAATGCCAGCACTTTGGGAGGAGTAGGAGGGGGTGTTACTTGACGCCAAGAATCTCAACAGCCTGGCCAACATAGTGAGATCCGGTCTCTACAAAAAATTTAAAACAGCAGGGCGTGGCAGCAGGTGTCTGTGGTCCCAGCTCCTCAGGAGCATCACCTGAGCCCAGGAATTCAAGGCTGCAGCCTGGGCAAGAGTGAGACCCTGTCTCAGAAAACAAATAATTAATGCAAGTTTCACAAATGCCCTACAGCATGCAATGAGCTCTGACATTCTCTATGTTATTTTAATCTGCTTTTTAAAATCACTGGGCATGGCTCATTCATCCGACTACCCTATCTTCCCACAGGCCACACGCCAGGTATGAAGGAGCAGGTGCTGGGCCGCAGGCTGCACCTCTTCCCCTGCTCCAGATGAGCAGCCAAGTGCCCTGCAAAGGGTTTCATCACCTCTTCCGCCTGCCCAGGCCGGCCCCTGACACTGTCGCCAGCTGAACCCGAGGATGTAAGCACTCAGGAATCTCTCCACACAGCTATGGCCGGCAGAATAATGGTTCCCAAAGACGTCACCATCCTAACCCCCGACCCTGGGACTGTTTCACCTTTCACAGCAACAGGGACTTTGCGGATGAGACTGAGTTAGGCATCTTGAGATAGGGGATGATCAGGGAGCTCGTGAGAGGAGGCCGGACGGAGAGTGAGTCAGAGCCTGGAAGAGGCTGCGCTGTGGCTGTGAAGCGGGGGAAGGGCCCCAAGCCAAGGGCTGCGGGCGCCTCTAGACACTGGGGAAGTAAAGGAATGGACCCTCTCCGGGAGCCTCCGGAAGGAACGGTCCTGCCCGCACCGTGATTTTAGCCCAGGGAGGCTGCCCCAGACTCCTCCAGGCGTGGGAGAGAATGAAACAGTGTTGTCTTCAGCCGCCGTGCCTGTGGTCATTTGGCACAGCAGCAAAGGGCACCTCCCTGACCTCAGGGAAGGCAAGCGCCTTTCCACTCCCAGAAGCCTCCCAGATCTCTCTGCTGTGACCTGCTGCTTCTGGTTGTCATCAGGTCCCCACGGGATCCTGGGTCTCCCCTGCCACGCGTAACTGTCTCTTTGCACAGCTGTCTCCCCTGCTGCACGACAGGCCACCCCCACCCTCAGCACGTGGTCCAGAAGGCAGGGAAGCCACCAGACCCTGAGGCTCTCAGCTGGACAGACCCCAGCCCGGTACTACCCCAAGGCTGCTTGAGACTGCAGGTCCTGCTGCCCTCCTCTCTGGGGCCCCAAAAGTGCCTGCTCCAAGCTGGGAGGCTAGAGGCTCTGGGGCTGAGGCTGGGCCCCAGTTCTCAAGGCACAGTGAGCCTAGGCCTCTGTCCACCCTGGCCCCATCCACAACGGATGACAGGCCGGGCTAGGCCGTCTCCACTGCCCCTCCAGGAGGGACGATGAGGGTGGGGGCCCAGGCAGCTCTCCATTCCTTATGCACGGGCTGTGCAGTGTCCACAGGTGCACGGATGGGGACCTGGGGGACAGTGTCCCGGGGAGAGGCTGAGGAACCCCTGCAGCCAGGCTGTCAGGGCAGCAGCAATGGCTACACAGCTCCAGCCCAGTCTGCCGATGGCTCACGTCCTGATACTTGCCAGGATGTCACAAGAAGGGCCCTTACCGCTGAGGTCCTCCCAACAGCCTCCACCCTGTACTCACCCGAGCAAAACACCAGACACACCCCAGTCGAGGGAGACCCTTCCATCTGCCTGGACACCCCCCTCCAACACCGTCTGGGCACAAAACACAGGGAACATGTTGGGAACGGTCCCAGCCCAGAGAAGCCTGAGGAAGGATCCTGGCAGCGGCCCTGGGACAGAAAAAGGCCATTAGGGAACAGCAGAGGCAATCCCAGTGAAGTGTGAACTGTCATTAACAACGTGTCAGTATCAGCCATCAGGAGACAAACGCGCCAGCAAGCTAGGCAGGATGTTCCCATAAGGAAAGCGGGCGGGGGTGGGGACAGAAGGGAACTCTCACCACCACTTGCCCAATTTCTCTGTAAATCTAAAACTGCTCCAAAAATAAGTTCTATTAATTGTGGGGAGGGGAAGACCCAGGTGCTCCAGGTTTGGCCGCATCCTGACATGTGCCCAGCGCATTGAGCTTGCTGCAGCTTCTGGGCAGATCTGGGGCACTAGGAATAGAACTGGCAAGGGGAGCCCACTGCAGCATGACAGAAGTCTGCAGTGACAGCCCCAGGCAGCAGACACCAACACCCCCAAAAAGGCATGAGCTGCGCTGCCCCACACGAGCTGACCCTGAGGACACAGGTGCTGAGGGAGCCGCAGATGCGGTGCAGGTTCTGCGAGCCCCTCCCACAAGGCCGGAAGTTGGGGCAGAAGAAGAGACCACCAGCGGGAATCTCGGGGGAGATAGCGGTGCCACAGCACAAAGGCCTAGCGACCCCAGGACTTGGCCACCCAAGAATCCTGCAAAAGGAGGTGCTCTTGGCCATGGGGCTGCCAGTCACCAGAGTCCCCAGGGCCAGCCCTTGGGTGGGTTCAGAAGGCTGGGCCCCTACCAGACCACATTGCCCACCTCCTGCCCTGGGGCTGGGCACCAGCTCCAAAACAGCAGTCTCTGAACCAGAAGGAAGGGTCCTCTCACTTACACACCTGCCAAAGTTACCTGACCCAGGATGGCTGAGTGCCTGGCCCAGCCCGCCTCTCCCATGGCCACAAGCCCCAGGCAGCCTTCAAAAGGGACAGGTCATTTCCTGCCTCCCAGCCATGTCGTTAGCCCCACAGGAAGATCCTCCTTTCTCCAGGGAACTCTGTCTATCCCTCGAAGGTCGGGGATGCCCACCCAAAGCCTCAGACAGACCCACAACATGAACACTGTACACCCTATGAGCAGGAACTCAGGAGCTTTGGAAGAGACAGACAGTGAGATAGACACAGACACACACAGACACATGGGTTGGCATTCCCATTTCCAAGCCCTGTCGGCAGAGAGAATCCAGAAGCAATGATGTCCCAACAGCGTCGAGCACGGCCAGCACCCAGGCCATGGTGTCTGAATCTCATCCTCACTCTGAGGAACCAGGGCTCCTTGCAGGAGAGGTGGTCAATTCCAGGGCTGGGGCAGGGAATATACAAGATGAGCCCAGACTGTCCTGCAGGACCAGAGAGGAAGGGAAGGCTTGACAGGACGGAAGCGGGCAGAAAGGACACAGGAGGGGCTCCTGATGGCCAAAACGAGGACCACCTGGGCACCAAGATGAATGCCAGCATCACGTTACAAGGCACAGAATAAAACACACACACGGCCG